GTTTGAATACCTAGATTGAAGATTTGATTTTGTTTCCTGTTGACTGCCAGTTATGACATGGGTATTGTTTGTTTTCCTTATCCAACCTTTGGCATGAATCTTGATGTGTTCATATATGTCTGGTATCATTCAGTCATTCAAGTTAAAGGCAAACGGTGTTCGCCGGCAAAACCTGATTAAACTCTCAATCCCTACTATAATTTTAGGGTTTACGCATCCCAGCCACTCAATCCCACTCTCACACGTTCTATATACCACCACTACATCTCCATTCACCAATTCTTATTCCTCATTCCCTTGAATCACCCAATGTGATCAACCTTCCAGTTACCTTGCCAGCAATACAGCCATTTGCAAGTAGGCAACCTCAGTGAATCAACACTCCCTCACTCCCACCAATGAACCAACACTCTCAGCACCCCACAACCTACAACACCAACTGACACCGTCTACCAACTGCGCACACCTCCTTTTACTTTCCCTTTCCAAAATATTCAACTCCCCAACCCGTTTGACGCACATTGTATCTTTCCAATCAGCCAATCGCTTGATCACCGCTCTCAAAGTGTATTGTCCCGGGCTTGGTTCTTGACATAAACAGCAAATTCTGACTTCCCAACTGTGATAGTGGGGTTGCTACTCATCCGTGTGGCCAACATTGTTATCAATGCTCAGTCTGGCCACTCACCAAATCAATCAACCTCCAATCTGGCAATTCATCAGTTGATCATTGGATCCTCAGTCTGACAACAACTTTCAGAAGATTTTCTCACAGAACTGCCTGATTTGACTCAAATGTCAAAACGATTCACATGAGCCACAGAAAGTTTTATGAGACCACAAACTAAATTTATTTCAACATCAAATCAAATATTACTTTAAAAAAATGAATCAACCACTTTAATACCAGAACCAAATATACCACCTTTAACACCGAATCAACCAAAATAATCTGTTTTGGAAGATTCAAAAAATATCAAAACTTCAAAGATCTCCTTCAAATGCTAACTTACATCAACAACAACAAGAAGACAATGAACTGATTTCTTGATTGACTGTAAGTTCTCTTGTTTCTCAATGTAAAACTCTCAGTTGTCTATCAAGTCTTCCAATTAATTCTTCCATTTCACTGATGACTGTTAAACGTGATTATTTTAATTCTGTGTTAATTTATATCTTTAATTCAAATCATCATTCAAGTTCAAAGGGAACCCCGGCTCCTAGATAAACCTCCAATGACTCCCAATTCCTATTTGCAACTTCAAGATTTACACGTCCAGCAAATGAAGTCCCTGGTTTACGTGTTCAGCCTATCTTTGTCTGAATCTCAAGCTCCTATCCAAACATTCAAAAACCACCATACCATACAACATCAGCTGGAATTGACAAGCCCTTTGCATTGAGCACAGTACATTATACCATAACGATTCGATCTCAGAACCCACGACTTGCATCTTTCATCAATTAATTGTTCAACAGAAGTCAGTTATGTCTCTACCACAAAAAATTGAACTCAAAATGGACTAAACCAGTCTGAATCAATTCTTTTGACTTAAGACACCACAACTCTTCTGAAAATCAGCATTTCTTAACTTACCAAAGGATTGGACCTGTGACTGTACAAGTTCACAGAAGGATTAGTTTGCCCGGTACCTCAATAAACCCTGTATAGAACATAAAGTAGTTCACTCAACCATATAGAGTAAGTACTCGACCGTTCACCTCTATTGGCCTCCAAATCCAATTTTTATCTTCCAAGCTCTAATCTACATATAATACACTCCTCCACATCACTTGATTTCTGACACTGTATGATTATTGTCATGAAGCTTGACTTGATAGGGAAAGATCTTGATTCACATCCACCGCAACTGCTCCTTTCCACCCATAATTTAGGTATCAAGCCAAGCAATCAAGCGTTATTGGTATTACAAGCAAGTCTACGCCAGAAAACAGGTGATCACGTTTTTGGATTCTTGACTTCTGAGCTAAAACCCGGCATACCATATGTCCTCTGTCATGTCTGGATGAACTCTATGCTTTCGTTAGGTCATAAGAAGTTGTTTGATTCAAATTCATTGACTCCCAACTTCCTGATAATTACAATGATTTTCAGCTTGAATCAAAAGAGACTGATAGGTCTGTGAGTCAATCTTGGTTCCATCTTAATGCTTTATCTGGTTGTTTGTTAATATCAACACCAAGGATTTCATGCCTGACCAAAATTGCTAATGATGATATTGGACTTCTACAAGTCGCTTTTACGTCTGACTGGCCGGATTCCAAGCAGTCACCTCTTACTACAACAGCTGTTGTTGAAATGGTACTAAAGTGAGATTTCATTAACTTAATCATTTTTTTCTCTCTGTTTTGTTATATTTTGACTGGTAAAGTGCCATTTCAATTGAAAAGCTTGAGTGTAAACCGTTGGATAGTGGATTCTGAGTTGAATTATGCCTCTCACTCTATGGTGCAATTGTTTTTAAGGTAACAAGGTACTGGGTGGCCTGCCACCCTCTAGTACTGGGTGGCCCACCACCCTCTGGTATCAAGAGTCAGAGACAGTGTTGACTTGTATTAATCTGTATAACTGCAGGCCTTCTTCTCAATACTGAAGCCATTCTCTCTTATAGACACCAGTTTACCAGCACTTCCAAGTAGATATCCACTCCTTTTACCTGGGGTATCCACAGGTTTCAGACCGGATAATACACCTGATATAGTAAACCTGATGAATGAGAATGGGAATGACGCTTTGGTTGCATTGGCAAAGGGGATAGGCAAGTCTCAACACAGCTCAGTGGTGATATACTTTTTGACAAAATATTAACGGAGAAAAATAGAAAAAGGGGGTAGTTTATATTATGCTAGTATTGGAATCACAGGAACCAATCATCATCATCAACCACAGCAGTTCTACAGATGCTGGAAGATGGGTGATACACAAAATTGGGTAAAAAAAGCTTCATATGCTTTTTGTGTAGGTGACCATAGACAACCAACCAAATAATAAATCCAAATCATCTGATTGATAAGAATTCAGTTCATTTTCTAGAGTTTGAATTGAAGCAGCATTAATAGCTTTTCCTTACATCACAAATCTTCTCACATTTTCCATTAAAGCAACTGTCCTTTGTTCTGAATATTCATATAAAGTTGGTGTGATTGATTTAGGAATTGGATTCAATGCAATTGAACTTGTGACTTGTTGTCTAAGCTGTCCTAAATTTATTTTATAATGTGTAGATTTTTGGAATGAATTCAAATATATATCAGCTTGACTTACAAGTGACGCATGAATCATTCTAGTAGTTTGATTTTCTACTACTGAGGTAAAAGAACTGGTTCTTTTGGATGATCTTTGATTGAATGCTGCAAAATTAAGTGAGTAGCTTCCACAATGTCGACTTTGTTGTTGCTGTTGTCTAACGGCTCAATTGCCTTGTCAAGGCTAGCTCTATCAGTAGTCATTTCTCATGATTCACCTTTTCAAATCTCCTTGATCAACTCAACAATCAACAACTTTGATTTCAACACCTTTGCATGAAGACCACTGGATACATCCCTGCACCACACTATCCTTTCTCATGGACTCTTGATATCTCATCAAATGAGTTTTCATTTTCCTGGATATATATATAGTACCATTCTTTAGTTTGTTACTGATGAATTGAATCAGTGATTTTCTGTTTTCAGGTCTAACCTTGCTTGATCAATTATTTGTAAGTTTAATCCTTTGTTTTTGGGCATTCCCTACAGTTCTCTTATCAACTGACTTTGGATCCTTCTATGTACAGTGAATTTTTTTTTCTTGGTAATTGATTTCAATCAATCAATCAGGTTGATTCATTGATTCACACAGTTTATGTGTCAGCCTATCTATTACATTCATACTTACTGGTTTGTGATGAATGTTAACTGAGTTTTAATTTCATGATTTGTTGATAATTTAGGTTATCATGATTGATTAGATGCAAGACAGAGAACAATAGGCTGGCATGAGGAGGCTGATTTTCTCCTGTCATTATCTTCGATTTAATTTTACTGATGATTGTTGATCTTGTTTAATCATCTATGTCTTGCTAAGTGAGTAAAGACTTTATGGTTTGAGAGATAAAATTATGGTGTGAGAAAAGTGATGTATTATTTTTGTATTTACTTTTGGTGTTTGTAAGAGAAGTGAAATATAATTGGTAATGAAAAATATCAAGTGTGAATTTGTAAGTTGATGAGCTGGCCAGCTGGTGCGATTAAGGATGAGAAATAGGTAAAGAAAAAGAGATCCAGCTCAGTGAGAGCTTCTACTCACTACCATGGTCAGCTAACTAACAATTTTATCTTGATTAACACAGTTCTTAACAAAAAGCCTCATTGTGCCCACTTAGTCCCTCCCAATGGTCAGCAATTGTTGGTAGTGCTCATTCAACCTACAATCGAGCCAATCAAGGAACCAACCCCAATTGAATCTATTGCCAGGAAACGGTTAATCCAAGGAGAAGTGGTGATTTTGAGTAACAAGCAAACCTCAAATAAAACTCAGCTTTGGATACCACTTGAACACAATGGAAAGTGTTTTCAAAAAAATACAAACAGCTTTAATCTTAATTGGAAGCATGTATAAATTCAAACACAAATCTTCACCTAAACATTTGCAAATGTCTTATTGACTTCAAAAATTTGTCAATTCTTTCACCAAGAGTTCAATTTGTACATTTTATCAATGGTGACCTATCATTTCTTCATATTATTGACTTCAAATTTTGAATGATTGTCAAGCTATTGAATAGAGATAAAAAATTCTCAATGAAAGTGGAATACAGGAAGAAGCTGATCAAGATCTTGGGATTTGAATTGATTTGAATTGTAGCTCAATTGAATTGAAGATACTGAAACATATTTCAAAGCGATTAGGGAATTACTAAAGAAAACAAACTTATTTATCAAATGCGGCTAAATTCTTGAATTCATCATCACAAGTAGTATACAACAATAAGGATATGATGAGATTCTTGAGTAAAAGACTTGTAGGGGTGGAAGCAATCTTAGAAATCTATGATTGTAATATCTCTAGAGAAATTGCTTATAAGCCTGTGGAAATGAATGGTGGTCATAGGTTGTTGCCTAGCCAGGGGTGTGGTTACACGGTTGCCAGGTTAATTGGGATGGAGTGATGATGGATAGGGAAGTAAACATTGCCTAGATCACTTTTGTAGCACCTCTATTTAGCCAACAGAAGGTCCAAGGCAAGAGTCTTGCAGCTGGGCCAATCAGGGTTCGATTAAGAGCTGTGTGCCCAGTGAATATCATGCACTGTGTTTGCTTTTAGCAAAATCCTGGTCATGACTGCGCGCTGAGTGTACACCCTATTCTGTATGGCTCTAGGGATGAGCTTGATGAGTCAATTGGAACCGCCTAGACAATGGGATTGGTGTGGGAGCGGGTAGTAGGTACTGATGAAAAGGAAGCGGTCACATACTGAGTATAGGTAAGTAAAGGGCTGACAATGGAAAAATCAAGGCTGAGGTGTGGGGAGAGTTGGAAATGAGGGTCTGAAAAGGATACCTTCAGTGAAGGTGCTGTGCTTGCGCAGATAGTGCTGGACCAGTTAGTGGTAGTTAGTGCTGGAACAGTTAGTGGTAGTTGGTGCTGGAAAACCGCCAAAAAAATGGGCCAAGGCAAAGGCAGCTACTGAGTATATGAGCAAGGCAATTGACATGTGGCGAGGAACCAAAAAGGTAGTTGCTGACTCCATGTCAAGTATAGGGAGAAGTAGAGGTGAGTACAGGAATCTGTAAAGTATAGGGCTGGGGCAGGCCAGGGATGGAAAAATTAAGGCTGAGCAGGAGAAACAGTCAGGAAGAACATTTCTTTAAGTATATAGATAATCAAATGTCTTTTACCTTTTGGTTGTTGTTGACAATTCTGATTGAATCTGACTGTTATCATTGATTGATATACAGTATTCCCAAGCTCAATTTGGGAGTATTGTATATTGAATTTCCCAGAGCTATCTAATACACCATGGGATCTGTATCAGTGTTTACAATTAATCACATGTCAGCATTGTATGTCATTTGTTTTTGCTGCAGACGAACTTTATGTATTGGGAAGTGATCTAACCAAATGGTTAATTTGCATGAATGATCTATACCAACGTCAAAACCGCTACGCTATGCACAGCAATATCAAGGGTCCAGGATAGTGGTGTGATGGGTCACTATCTTAAGGACCCGATACACACCGCTATCTGGATACACCCACTACAAGAAATGTGTAGTGGTGTGGGTCAATCACTATAGATCACAGCGATATTTAAGCGCTACCACTATCATAGCTCACACACTTTTTTTTAATATGAACAACGAATTATATTAAAAGGCACTTAATAAAATAATTGGTAAAGATATACAACGAACGATTAAATAATTGAGTAAGAGTATAGGAATGAAAAAACCAAAGACAAAACTGTATTAAGGATAGTCATTCAGTAGAAGAGAAGCTAGATGAGAGAGGATATGAGAAGAGTGAAAGAAATTGAGACCTGAATACGAGAGTGAGGAAAAGTGAGGAAAATAAACCAAGCAAAACAATGTCTTAAAGAGAGTCATGAAACAGAAGGGAAAAGAGAAAGACAAAATTATCTTTGATCCATGTTCTCCACCAAGGTGAGAGCCTCAGAAAACTCTCCCGGAACCTTGATACCAGATTTAAGCCACTCCCGAGACGACGCACATTGCTCAATAGTACGGCTTGCCATAGCCGATCGATCAGATCCACACACATCAGCAGCACCTGAAAAGATACGTTCACATGAACATGTTGTTCCTGAACATGCCAAAAAGTCACGAGCCATGAGGGCAAGGACAGGAAATGCCCCAGAATTGTCCTAAAATGTAAGAAGTAGTCAGAAATTTTGTTATCAAACATAAGATGATGAAGAAAACATACCTTCCACCACGACAAAAGAGTGCCACTGCTAAGTGGAAATTTACCTGACATATAACCTTCGAGTTCTTGCTCAGTATCATCGTTAGGTCCTGATACCACCAAGGCAAAGACGTTATACTCGTCATCAGTGACTGTATTTTCTTGCTGAACAGTTGAGATTGTTGTGACTGGATGATTGGCTTGGTATTGATCAGAATAAGAATCCAAGTTCTGTTCGATGATTCTCTGAACACGAGTCACTTGAGATGGATGATGAAGTTCAAAGAACTTCATCCGGAGTCGAGGGTTAAGGACGGTGGCAACTACAATGGCATCACATTCAAGAGCCTCTGATTGGTAATGTTGCAGGCGATTAATCATGTTGGACGTCAATTTTTGAAGGCTGGCGTATGGAGTATAAGTATTCAGATTTTCGAGGGATGTCCTGACACGATGATAGTCGAGTAAAACAATGGCCGCTGTGGAATGATTACCCTCAATTCTGGAGGTAGCTAAAACAATAACCTATTCAAGTATAAGACCCGTTCAGTAGACAATTCTTAAACAGAAGGAACGAGAGAGATCAAAGTACTCACTTCCATAACCTCATTCAAAGCAGATGCGCATAGCCATTCGCTTTTTGAGATTGATATTTCTTGAAAATACCCCTCCTGGTCATTTGCTAACATCTGATTTATCACCTGTAAGTAAGGTCAATTGTTAGTGATATTCAAAACCAGCTGACCTGAGAAATTAGAAAACTTACCTCAGCTCCATCTACCATGATTGATTGGCTCTGGTGCAGGCCGTTCCATTTGCTGGACACACCAAGGATAGGACAACGCAAAGTCCTACCCAATGCCTTTGCACGGTTGCGGAATTCCAGTCGTCGCGATGGACGGCGAGCAATAAGACGGCTTACTCGATCGATCTGCAGAGAATTAAATCAGTATTGAGATGAAGAAAGTTGATAAGAGCATGAAGAAAGATTACCTTCTTGATTGCTTGAATCACTAGGTCAGGTCGGCTTCTTGTTGAACCAGGTAAGACAGCAGGAATATGAGAGAGCTGCTCAATGTTGTCACCGTCATTGTCAGATCCACCGTTGCGAAACTCAGATTTGCTAGCGTCGGATTCATCAGTTTCATCTTCATCTTCGACTTGCATCACATCAGGTTCATCGTTAAGAGTGATGGAGGGGGTGGGAATGTTGAAAAGAGGCTGGGTGGTTGGCTTGGTGTGGCCGGGATCAAGACCAATCGAGGCTAGACCGTGCTTGACAAGCAGGGCTAGCTTGTGAGCATAGCAGCAAATCTGCATACGTCCTGCTGGCCAGTCAACACTCGGTGTAGCATCTTGAAACATCCTCTGTAGTTCATAAGCAAGGGGTTGGTTGTTGGAGCCCAAATCAGTGGTTTGGGCTAACATGTAGATAAACAAAGTAGATTAGGTTTAAGTTTGAAGACAATGTCAGAAAACGAAAAAGAAAAAGAAAACTTATCTTATGATATAGACCATGCTTGATGAGGAATTGAGCCACAGGTCGTGCAAGTAGGACACCAGAGTGGTTCCACGCGGCCAGCTTTAGACCAAGATGAACTGTCTGAAATTCCCATTGGTCATCAATGAATGTGACATTCATGCCGATAAAGGCATAGCGGCTCCGACGAGTGGCCCAGCCATCATGAATCAGGCAGAACTTGCTTGAATTTTTCTACATAAATACAAAGACCAAAAAAAGAATAAAAAGATTTATAAAGTCAAAATAGTGAAACAGAAGCAAAAGATCGATAAAAGCAAAGACATACCATGATGGTTTCCAGAACAGTCTGGTGCAATCCAGCGTAAAGCCGTCTAGCAGCATTTGCTGCCCATACTGCTGATCTAAGAGCTGCTGAAACGTTCGCAAATCGGAACGCTGCTCGCAAGGGATTGTCTTGAAACCGAGCCCACGGTAATGCTTGACAAATCACCCAGATGACACACGTGAGGTTGAGAAGATCAACACTAAACTTATCCTTGGAAACAAAGTGATCGAGGGTTCCTGAGCTTTGTCCTTGCAACAATCTCTGCTGCTCCTCCCACGACGGTGGAAGATCCATACCGGCAGCTAAGGCTTGGGATCGCCTGGGGCAAGCGGGTCGACCTTTGCTTCCATCTCGATGACCGTACAAGTTATAATAGCTAGTCAATCCTTTGAGGAATCGAGCGCGGCACCACCGACACCTATAAAGCCGTGGATCACCAGAGGTCTGCTGAACATATATCAGTATTGAATATTGAACCAAAAAGAATTTTGAAAGAAACTAACCTGGCCAGTTGGATAGATCGGAGGGTGAAAGTACTTGAGTAATTCTCTAACCCGAGCCAGTTGTGAAGCTCTGATACCGGTCCTGGGTCTTATTGGAACGATTTCGTCTCCAGAGTCTTGATCAAGATCTACACAGTCAGGAACCGTCTCATCCTAGAGATTGAAAAGTAGAATATCAACTTTAGTCATTGAAAGCAATAATTCGACAGAAAGGAAAGTGAAAGATTAGACGGCTTACTTTTTTCCTCTTCTTAACTGCCATTTTTCCGGTCTGACGATTGGTTCGTTTTCTGGTTGATGTTGATTGAAGTTCCAATACTTCATCCTCATCTTCAGGGACCGCCAGAAAAAGCCCATCAATTGGGGCAAAGAGAGATTCGGAATTTGAGGGACCAGGAGTTGGAGATGCAAGAGATCGTCGAGCGTCGGGAGAGGTAAAGACAAAGCCAGGTGAAGGTCTAACTGGTGTCCTTGGCCGGAGAGATCGCCCTGAAGGCGACTGGGTTGGGGCAGTTGACGATGGAGCCAGATTGATTCGAGAGTTCGTTCGAATCAATCGATCTGGTTTGATCTGAGAAGTTGAAGGTATCATAATGACACAGAAACAGTGGTTATAGGTGGGAGATGTTTGAAATGAAAATCACGGTTGAGCTGAGAAAAGTAGGATAGAATTGGATGTGGTTGAGGTAGATAAGCTGAAATTGGATAGAGTGATTGAAGAATGATACTGCAAAAGTTGTTTTGATTAAATCGTAAGGCAAAGTGGGTGCAGAATGAAACTAGAAATGGATTAGAGGCGGAAGAAAAATGTCAGCAAGCAAACAGGTTGACATTTTATATATGTCAAATATGGACTTACACCGAGTGCTGCTCAGACCATGCCTGGTCATTGGTACTCTTGATAACCGTTAGTTGAATGTTCTGCCAAATGGTGGACAATTGAGAGTGGTGATGTTGAAATGATGGTGAGGGTGGTCGATTTGAGGTGATAGATGAGGTGGTCGGGTGTAATTTGGAAAGAAGGGGAGGGGTATTTCGTCTGGGGCGCAGGGCATGGACAGATACAGGATTGGATATGGTGGGCATGGGTATATACAGGTCATAGCGACCGCTATATGTACCTCTATACATGTGTCCACACTACAAGGGGGCCTGAGCGCTGCAGATGTACCACTACAGGTATTCTCCTTTTCCAAATAGGGGTGCGCACCAGCCACTACAAAAATACCCCCTATTTTTAGTGGAAGTCCCGCAGCGCTTCCGCAGCGCTTGCACTATATGATGCGGGGTGGTTTCGACGTTGTCTATACCAATTGCACTGATTGTGTCACATAAGCCTGATTGGCTGATTTGATTGAAACAGGCCACTTTGGACAGTTTCCTCCAAGAGGCGGTATCATCAAAATTGGAATTTTTGAAGTTGTGTCCAGATATGTTTTGTGTATGGATTGCATGATGGAGATTGATGCTGTGCCATTTGTGTATGGTTTTTTTGTCTGTTTAAGATCTACCTGGATTGTATGAATGAAAACTAAGCTGAGTGAAAAATTTGATTCAGAATCATAAGATTGGTCTCCTTTGGCTGCAAGGATTATAGTTTGAAATTGTAATAGCAAGTATGCTAAGCGCATGGAAAATGGGTTGAAAGCAGAGAGTTAGATTTGATAGGGATTTTTGTGTATGTAGCTATGATCTGTCTTGAATTGGTGGTTGATTTGCTTACACTTTAAGCTTATGGCCTCAATCTAGAGGTGCTGG